ATACTCCTCCAGTGCTGACCCTTTCGTGCAAATCGTTCCTAGTTGCATTCTTACACCTTTCTAGTCCTCCTGCCTCTGTGAATGAGACTTTTTTTAATGCTGTCTTGATAAAAATAATTTCTATACTATAGAAAAAATATATCAAACTAAAATTGTGGCTTGTATTCTTTCATGGTGTTAAAAACCAATATACTTAATTTTAAAATGCAATGAGCTGGACTGATACATGTTTACTCTTGTGTGCCAAGTGCTCTCTAAGTTACAAAGGCAATTTTGCATTAGAATGTATTTTTAAATTAAACAGTAAATATTTATATTTAAATAAATATGCTGTTTACAGTGTTAACAAATATTTGATAAATAATTTAAGCATCCTGAGATATTTGTTTACAAAAAGATAAATGTAAATGGCAGTATAGAATGTCACTCATCTACCACAGTTTATACAATAACTTCCAATATTATATCTAAATTACTGAAGTCTTGTTTCAGCCAAGTATCCACTGTAATCAAGGTTCTTATTTAGTCGAGACATTATGCCAAAGTAATTGGCTAAGCTGGAATAGAAAACTTCAAAGTTTCCTTCTTACCATGCACATCATTTCTTCCATGTAACCCCATGGTTCTCATTGCAGGCCACAAACTTTACTCTTCCCCAGTTTTTCTTATATATTTTTAATGGATTAATTTTTATCATAATTAACATATGTCTATGGCAGCCATCGTAAGAGATCACACAGCACCCAGTTTTTTTACTGTGGCTGAAGCTATCTTTTGTTTTAAAACAAACTTGCTTTTGGCTGTCAGTGTGAATGATCCTGTTAAACAATTTTGTGATTGATTTCCTAACAGCCCCACAAGTCTCTGCCTACTCTGATTACAGCACTATGCCAGAGCAGTCCGGGGTTCTACAGACTATTAGAATCTGTGATTCCTTGGGATGTCTCAGATGTGGTCAACTCCTTGCTGAATGGTCCAGTGCTTGTTCTGTTGGACACTAGTCTGTTTATACTGCCTTGCATTGGGAAGGCTTTCTTTGCAAGGGTGAAAATGAAAGCTGAGATTGTTATTTGTCCCCATTTTTTATGGCCTTACTCTGTCTTCTTCGTTTTGATACAATGTGGGATTTCAAAATGGTAGAACAAACCCGCAGAATGATGCAGATGCTGCTAAGGAATGTACAAGCAAAAACCCTCAGTGTGTTTACTTGAGCAAATTTAAATGCACAAAAGTATAAAAAAGTATATATAAAGTATGAATGTTGATATTTAGATCTAAAGATTCAGATAACATGAATGACATTTCCTTGCTCACCTGCAGGTCTACATGTAAGGTTAATGCAAACTCACCTGTTGGACAAGTCACAGTAGAGCCTGTCTCTGCTCCCACCCTGGATAATTACCTTGTTATTTATTAGACTAATAACTTTTTGGCATGTTATATTCTGTGCACTCAGAACTCACCTAGTTAAGGTTACATCAAAGACTGACCTCCGTTGACAAGATTAAATTGAAGTCATTTTCTCTAAGAGCTTAGGTGGAGTATTTGTGTTGTCAGCAAACAGGACTTTGTCCTCTTTCTCCTGGGCATTATCTTGGATGCAGTGTCAGAATGCCAGATGGATTTGCTTCAGTATTTTTTCTCCAGTTTTTAATATTCTTCTATCACCTTTCAGCTGTCACACTCAATAATTTCTTCAGAAAAGAAGTGCCCAAAAGAAGCCACTGTATAACAGCTCTGCTTTAAATGCTGATCTTTTTCAGTAGTTTTTTTGAGCTGTATTTATTACCTGATGTTTAACCCTTAGAACTTGCAGGACTGCATTAAATATGGTTCTTTTTGTAGGCTTCTCACTCGCCAAAAAACCCTCAACAAACCAAAGCCAACCCCCACAGATGAAACAGGCCCCCTCCTCCTCAGGAAAATAGTAATTATCCACAGTACCATAAGGACTATTTTTATGCTACAATTTGCTTTAAGCCTCCCCCCATAAATAATTTTATTTTGTATACGCTTGTAGAATTGAAAAGAGAAAATACAGACTCAGACCAATAAATCAATGAATACTAAATAAACTGAAGAAACAGTCTTAATTACTCTTAATTGTAAAATAAGTGGTTTCTTTTTTTTTTCTTTTTTTTTTTTTTTTTTTTTTTTTTTTTTTTTTTTTTTTTTTTTTTTTTTTTTTTTTTTTTTGAATGTAGAGCAGATTTTAATACTTAGCTAGCCTTGCTACTTACAAAATGTGATGGAGGAGGAAGTCTAAGTAACTTCTTTGGAAAAGGAAATAGCCCACTGAATGAAAGGGAAAATAATGCTCTTTTAGAGGTACTTTCATGTATATTCTGACATCCTTACTTGAAATTTGTTCATTTTTCCTTCAATTTGCAAGTTATTATAAAAGCCATGTGCAAGTAAAATTTACATCCTTGAAATCACTAAGTCTGCATGTGAATTACTGTAAAAATTATTTCATGATATGTAACTTAAGTTCAGTTAAAGAACAGCAGTATATTGCTACACATTTCAGTACAGAATCTTATCAAGCTTAATCATCTTTCTCCTAAAGCATAATATTTGAATTGAACTCTTGTCTTAGAATTTAGTAGGTGTTGTGAATGCTTTCAATGGCGGTTTTAAATAAGAAAAAAAAGAAGACCACCCTCCTTTCATTTCTCTGTAACAATCTTGATAACGTTTATAAAGCCAAGAAGCATCATGAAAACAGCACAATGGCTTATCTGTGGTTTCAGCAGTTGTGGAGGTGGAATGTGCATGTTCAACTGAGAAAAAGGGAGACAAACCCATGATCTTAGGGACAAGAAAACAAGCACTTTAGAAGGAGGATGAAACAATCATCCTCACCCTAAGGGAACTCAGCTGTCCAGGGACTGTGAAGGTAGAGGTGGATGAAGAAAGAAGTGTGAAAGATATAATTTTATTTATCACTGTACCCCCAGGAGATGGAATATCAGCCTTTCTTCCAGACTTAGATAGTATCTGATATATCGTGGAAAGCTACAGAGCTTACTTCTTCCCTGCTTGGAATTGGAGTAGAACTGCGCTTTACAACAGTCATTAGTGCATTGCTTAATGTTGGAAGGAATATTTTATTACTTACTAGGATGGGAAAGAAGTGGAATTTCCAGTCTTCTGCCATGTCTCTCTGGCTTTGCAGAAAAGATAAGTAAAAAGCTGTTGTCCCATGTGGGTGGCAGGCATGCAGTGCAGTTCATGATCCATGAAACTGGATAATATGCAGAGATAGAGAAGGTTTCTCCCAGATAGGATGAGAGCTGGTGTTTCTTGGGAATGATCATGTATCTCCATCCTTTTGGTTCTGGTATGACAGGAATCAAATCTATAACAGTGACAATCCATCAAATGGGAGAGAGAAGGGTGTTGGATAATTCTAATAACTTTAGGAATTAATTAGTTAATGGCAGTACAGCTGTGTGCTTTTTTCCTAGAACCTTAGGATTCATGAGCTGTATGTATTCCTGAGATGTATGCAGCAGACTATTTGGCTCATCTCAGTATAAACCAGTGGAATAACTTTAAAGTCAGGTGTTTAATCATGTCAGATTAATTTCCGTTAAATTGACTTTCAAATACTGATGTGTCCCAGCCTTTGTTATATGTGATTAATGGTATGGGGAATGCTGAGTTTGTCTGAATATTTCTGTCATACACACAAGGTCCTCCAAACCTGACATGCAGTGAGCTCCTTTGTACTCTGCTTTCATTTAAAATTCAAGTGATGGGTTGGCCATTTTGAAAAACCAAAAGCTAAAAGAGAGGGGTAAGGAAAGCTGCTCTCCAAGTAATCTTCCATTTAAGATACTGTTTAAATAATTAAGCCTTTTAATGGAAGTGTATAGATTGTAAGATTTTAACTGGTTCTTGTTTAGTAGAATGAATTGTGTATCACACTAAGAAAGAATGCTGTAAAAAGCCTTGCAAGATTTTGTACTCACTGGTCTGTTTTAGCTTTGCAAAGAGTGTATTTATCCTTGTACAGATCGTATCAATAAGTATCATCTATGAATGCATAGATTTATTTTTAAATATTATATGCATTTACTCTCAAATGGATAGTCAGGGCAGAAACTCATATTTAAATTAATATGATTCTTCAAATATGCTAAACTTTAGTCTCTTCATGTTAAGAAATACATCACAAACTCTTGCCAAGGGTTAAGGTTATTTAGGAGGTTAAAAAGTAGTCTGCACTGTTTGTTACCTTCAAAGCTTGATAGAATTTCTGGTTAAACTAGGTCACAAAGAAATCCATAATTTTATCTAAATTACTTTTGCTTATCTGGTTATAATTCTGTACAAAATAGGCCAAATACTCTTCAGGAATCTTTAACAGAGAGACAATAATTTCTTGTTCAAAATAAGTCACTATGAAGATATGTCCATATTAAAGTATGCATAATTTTACAAAACCAGCTATGATAAACATTTCTAAAATTCAGCATGAAGAAAATAATTTAAGGAAGTGTCAGTCAGTATGCACTGGGTAAGCAACTACAACTGTGTTAATATTCCTATGAAGTAAAACCACTTTTAGTTCATGAAGTCCTAAGTTCAGCAACGATAGTAGTTCTTGAACTGGTGGAAATAAGCTCAATAAAGAGATCATCATTAAATAATCATCCAGGAAAATATTTAAATCTAGAAAGCTTTGTATTAAAAATAGTGTATATTATTATTTATGATCAGAGTTTTTTTTGGACTGCCCTTAATATTTTCAGGGCAGCCAGAACTGAGGTAATATGGGGTTTTCTTGAAATGTATTGACAAATCTGTTTTCAGAAAGGTACCTGTACTAGGACTATAGAAGGAATCTGAGGGATGCTAAAAATTTCTTTTTCTGCTATTCTAGGCAGAGATATATGTCAGGGTTTAATCAATGGATTGATAGGTATGTTAAACTATTCAGATTTTTAAGCTGAATGTGTGTTCTGAATACAGACTGTGGGTTTCTGTTGTAGTACGAATACTTCAATGCTGTGCTCATAAATGAACGAGATGAAGAAGGAAACTACCTGGAGCTGGGGAAGGAGTTCATTCTGGTGCCAAATGACCACTTCAATAACTTGCCTGTGAACATCAGTCTGAGTGATGTCCAAGTACCAACCAACATGTACAACAAGGGTAAGAAAAAAGCTATTTTATTTAATCGTTCCACTGACTGAACTTAGGAACATCCTTGCTTTAAAAATGAAGCTGTTGATTAGCTGTGTATTATCTGTGTTTTCCAGTTGGCAATAAAAGGGAAATTTCAGTGGAAGAATGTTTAAAGTGTGGCAGTTCTGTAATATATTTTGTCCTGTGGCAATTTAGCAATTTATTACGGGCAATGATTTGCATATTAGACTGTCATGAATTCTGCCATGGAGTATGACAGAATATGTTTATTCTTATGAATTATTTTCCAGAATCTTCAAATAATTTGATCAGAGCTTACATTGCCTCTTACCAGTTGGATTCTACCTGTGCTGAGATCTAGATGTGTCTGTGAAAGACATAGGGTAGGTGGGAGGGGAATATTTCATTAGATTTCTGCTTTCAAGCTTCTGGGAATATTTTTAGCTGTGTATATTCTATTATGGCTCTATACACAGCTGCTGTGAGTTTTCAGATAATATTTAGAAGGAATAAACTGCATTAAAATTTCTACTCCCTTGCCTATTTGCCATAGGTGCTGGATAGCACATAGCACTAACCAACAGCTACATTAGATAGTAGAAGTGATGGACTTAGGTCTAAAAATTGGCAATGCAAACTGAACTCAGACACACTTAACTCATTTTCCATTTGCCACTCCCCTTTGATCAGACAGCACAAAATTGTATTTTACAGTGCTTGTGCAGCACCTATCTATTTATTTTTCTCAAGCCAGTAATAAAAGAAAAATTAAGAAGGAAAGCACCAAAGTTTCCCAACGATGTCTGCAGTATGCGTGTCATTGGTCTGTAGAAGGCTACCTAATCTCATTATTTGGTTCCTCTTCCCTTTTTAACTATACTAAAAGACAGCTAAAAAGACTTTGGTTAAATGCTTTCCTCATAATACATTCCAGGCTAGCAATTGTGGTAATTCATGCAAGGATATTGGGTAATCACAAATGGAAGGAGAATTAATTCAGATAGGTTGGGCTGGTAAGAGAAGCTGTTGACGTGACAGCTTCTCTTCAAAGTTAGGATTCTGACTTGAGAATCTTGAGAAGCCAAAAATCATACAGTGATGTTTTAAACTAGGGACTAAAAGATAACAGAGCTTCCTAGAGATTATTTGGAAGGTTGTGAAATGATCAATGCGGGATATTTTGAAAAGATTTGGAAAGTGCTTAAAGCTTCTAAAGATACCAAACCACTTCTTTGTGCAGGTGCTAATGTTTATTTAATCAAGCCTGTCTATAAATTAATTCATTCTAGAACTGCTAAGGAGGAAAAAAAATGGTTGAAAAGGGATACAGAGGTCAGGCAACCACGTGTTTCTGGAGAAGCACACTAACCTGAGTAGTGAGAGCAGTAGAACTGAAGGATGTTCAGTTACATGATATGTCATACTGCTTTGTATAGAATATGTTTTATATGCTGACTATTTATAGTTAAAGGCCAAAGTCAAAGGGCTTGTTGAATCTTGTTTTGGCCTCTAATACAGGGATTGACTGTAGAAATGGGGAAGAGGGAGCTCTGTGATGATTCCTGTTTCCACACCATCTAATTCAAACCATCCAAAACCATTGCTTTATGCAGCTGCAGAAGAAAAGCATTTTTTTATCACTTAAATGTATTCCAACTGCAGAAATTTAGTTTGTTGCTGACATTTTCCTTGCACATGGACATGATAGTCTCGGTTTGGAGTCTGTCAATGTGTGGAAATGCTACTCTTGCCAAGAAGAGGACTGTATACTTAATTTTTTTTTCCGAGTTCTGTAATGCAGAGGGGTGATAACAAGTTAATCAAATCCTAGCCTGAGGGTACAGGCAGTAGATATTGATAGGTTTACAACTGAGTGTCTGCACAACACCATTTCTCTAGAAAAGGCCTGTTGTTCATTTCCAGGTTATGTTTTGGTTTATCAAATTACTAGGCAGAACCACAGCTCAAACAGTTGAAAACAGATAAGTGTCACTGAATAGTAAACACAGGACTCTAGAATCAGCATAGGAAAAAAAATCAGCTCTCTGTTCGTAAGTTAATTCTCACCTTTTTCTTTAATTTTTGTTCACTTAGTTGTACAGATGGTGACAGGACCATTGAAGACATGAAAGGCTTCAGGAGCTCAGTTCATTTGGCTTATTCAAGAAATGACTAAAGGTTTAATTAGTTGATCTGGAGTTAATTACTAATACCAGACTCTATAATCTGGTTGACAAAGATTTTAGAAGATCCAGAGGCTGAAATTGGGTTCCATTATTTTGCAAATTGCACAACTCAGTTAAGTTTTGGGAAAAACTTTGGCCTGGTCAGCTGCGTGATCACAGTGATCCCTCCCAGCTGTAGAATCCCTAAAGTGGAGGGTCACAGTCCCTAACTAGGCTCTCAACGAGATAGGCTTAACAATCATGGAACATCAATACATTTCTATTCTTATATATCTTCTGGCTCTTTCAGCCTCTTCATAAAAAAGCTTAAAAACATTGATGGTAACAACAGGACTACCTAATTCCCATTCTAAGGAAATATTCAAGTTTATAATCTGAAAATAAAAAGCAAAAGAAGATTTCATTACATTTATGATGAAATCAAGAAAACTTAAGTACCACAAATATAAAATCTATGATACCGAAATTTAACATGGAACATTTTGAAAAATAAAATAAAAGCCACTAAAAATGTCTGCCAACCTAAAAGTAACTCTAGTGCCATCTTTGATTACAGACTGTATGCACCTACTGTAAATGTATATGGGAAGGTAGGCTAGTGAATTTAATAAAGAATCGGAGATTTGCATTTACAGTACTCTTGATCATCATTGTAAAATAGAAAGGTCTTGTCTGGTTATTGAAGTGCTTTTATACTTTTCCTTCCCCACTTCTGCTCACCCTCGTTCCCTGCTTTCTACATATCTTACAGATCACATCAATAATGTCAAAAATAGAAACCTTACTGATCTTTGAAATATAAACCCTATGCAGCTCAGAAAACTGTCTTTTGACATTCCTATGATGTTCATATACTGGAGGAATTCATATACTGGAGGAATTCAGAGCAAAGAAAAGTGGTGCTCTACACTGGAGTGTATTTCCCTGTCTGTACAGACACACCTCGCTTTAGGCCACTTTGCAGCAAAGCTGTTGGTCCATTTAAACTGCACAGCATTCTCCTGGAATTAGCTTCCTTCATTTTTCCTGAAAGTGACTGCTTATTATAAAGTTTTGCTTTTGAAATGTTTAAGCATGCATGGGGAGTCTAAATCTGTCACTGCATTTTGTTTCTTCTCTTTAAACACAAAAGTGTATTTGTTACCTACAGCCTCACTGCCTGTAGCCAAAGGATTTGCAAGGCATTATGTTTTTAAACAATGAGTAAATAATTAAGATTAAGAAAGAAGTTCTGTGACAGCTGTCTTAGCAAGCAGTAGCTCTTCCATCCATGGCAATTACCAACTGTGTACAGATTTCTGACAGAAAGTAGGGAAAAGGTTCTTAGTGAATTAATCATATTCATATATTCATAGATGAAAGAGGAGGGAAAGGAATAAGGCACTTTTTCATTAGAAGGAAAGTCCAATTTTTAAAAGTGCAGTGTGAACCCAGTTTGGACAATGCAATACCAAGGCAAAAATCCAGGTGTGAGAGCAGGTGTATAAAAGGCACTGCCTCATTCAGCTGCTGGGGGTCTTTTTTAATTGAGTTTATTTACATGGGTTATGTAGCAGCACAAAGTGCATTCTCATGGCTCTTATTTTTTATGTCTCCACTATTATTTTAGAATGTAAGTGGTTTGGGACATGCTAACGTTTCAGACATATCTTGCATTTATACTTCCACAGGTATGCATTCCTGAGATACTCATGTGACTTTCTACATGTCAATCAATGTATTTTGAACAGCTGTTGTGGAAAGGATTAGTAATAATGAAAAATGATTAATGATTTAAAATTTGCATGGTTGCAACATTTGATTTATTATTTTATGAGATGCCAGTAAGTATATTAAGAAGAACCTAGGAATGTGACATATAATTAACAGGAGCAGTTGGAATGTGGGCTGGGCTTTCTGGCAACCATCCATGGGGAACATGGCAGTAGGATTGCCACTGGGAAGAGTAGGATTGTATAATGGATTTGTGTACATGAGGAGATGATAAAAGAAGACTCAAAACTGATCTTGCAGATGTTGACAGCATATAAAAGTAAAAGAACAGCATTTAACCTTTTGTTAGTATGAGAATATAGGTAGCCAAGACCCTACATTCTAAGTCCGAAGTATGTGCTGTATCTGAGATTAAGAACCTACTCCAGTCTTTTTTTTTTCCCCTAAGTCCATCTCACCTCATATTTACCCATAGTTGTGTAAATGACATATTTTCTGCTAATGAGTTTGCACTCAACAGTTTTTCAAGTTCATGGAAGAGGCTTATGAGTACTTGGATAAATGTGGTTTTCAGTGGAATGTAGAAGAAAAGCAAAGCCAGGGTGGGGGTGAATGTGTCCTTGTGACATACTCTCAGACAATTGTAAGATTATGCCACCTGTGGAAAAGCAAAGTACAGTACCAGGAGTGACACACAGCAGGAGCTCATCTGCTTACGTCAGCATTGCGTGAAATGTAGGAAGCACAAGAGGGAAATCTCAGTATCAACTGAAAACAACTCCTGTTTTTGAGCTTTTGCAGTTGGTCTTTGTTTATATGATAAGGTAAACTTTACGTTCACTGTTTGCAGAAAGGGGAAAAGCCCAGGTTCCCTTCTTTTCAGTGCTTCAGACATTTCTGGACAAAAGCACTTCTCCTTGCCCTTTAAACTGTATTTCTCTTGTACCTTTCTGTTGTTTCCCTCAGGTCCTCAGATTTGTATTTAGCAAAATTTACTCTCTCATTCTGCTAGTGTTCCTAGTCATTAAAAATAGTTAGCTTAATTCACTAACTAACAATATTGACTAATTAATTTAACTGGCACTAAATTCTCCTTTATCAAGTAAT